TCATGAGGGAGAAATGACTTCCAAGTGCTGTTGTAATTTAGAATCACAAATATAATGAAGTTTGGAAAAGAGAACATGGACAGAAATGGTGAATGTTTAACTGGTAAGCTGTAGACTAGATCAGATAGTGGTTAATAAGCAAGTCAGTTCCAAGAGTATGCAATGGATCCATAAATAGTATTGGCTGTGTCTTTTTGACAATGTGTTGGGGTAATGTCTCTCTATTTAATTGCATACCCAGATTGGGATAAAGATAAATCCTGTGCAGATTGGGATTAAGATAAAGTTTTCCAGCATTATAGACATATTTTTCCTGTAAAGAATTCGTAGGATTCTAACTTATTAATTTATAAATCTAAAACCAATAGTTTAGTGGCAAAGAGAGATTTTGTACACTGATGGTGCAGTAGTACCATGAAGTGGAGCTGAAATAATTCTTGAGAGTTTCTGCAAAAGGTTTGGCTAACCTTTTACTTACCTTACTTGGATTCACTTCACTTGCTCTCTTTTTAAACACAGTAAAATAGAATTAAAGCTACGCACAAAGCCCTCTAACCAATCCCATTCCCTTTTATCTTACTGCACTTTTAATCTTTAAAGGGAAATCACATCATAGGTAGTCCTGGACTTACAACAGTTCATTTAGTGACGTTCAAAGTTACAACAGCCCTGAAAAAAGTGATCACGTGATCAAAATTCAGATGTTTGTCAACTGGTTCATATTTCTGACGGATGCAGTGCCCCAGGGTCACGTGATCAGCTTTTACAAACTTCTGACAATCAAAGTCAATGGGGAGGCCAGATTTACTTAACAACTGTGTTGCTAACTTAACACCTGCAATGATTCACTTAACTTAAGGTTGTAAAATGGGACAAAATTCACTTAACAAATGTCTCACTTAGCCACCCAAATTTTGGGCTCAATTGTGGTCGTAAGTCAAGGACTATCTATAGTTCATAAATTGGGTGGCAGTTGTACGGAGCACCTTTAATGCAATCCTTGCTTTGCAAGTGAGTTCTCTGGGACCGATTCTGAATAAACACATTCAAGAACACCCTGCAAGAAAACAAGCCAGAGGGAGGGGGGGAGTTAGAAGAAGCAATAGAGCCAGATCTGAGAATCCATCCCAGTGAAGACCGGGCATCTTTCTTCTGAATTCTCTAGAGAGAGCTGCATTGACAACCGAACAATGAAACTCGATTTAGCCGGCTCAGAGCAACGCTACTTACTCATCAGAAATTCCATTACCTTCAATAGTCTTTAAAGCAGTGGGTAGAGGATTGGGGCTTTAATCCATATTAATGGCTCTGCTCTAGAGAAAGAGAGAGAGAGAGAGGTAGAGCGAAAAAGAAGCCTTCTTCCAATATTTTATTTTATTTTATTATTTGTATAGCCGCCTACTTCCCCAGGGGGACTCCAGGCGGATTAAATTCCGCTAGATGGAAAGAATTCACAGCCTAGCATATCGCCAGTTGAAATGTTCATTTTTAAAACACGGGAGGGCTTTTGACTTTTTAAAGGTCCATTTGAACTCAGGCCTCGTTTCAAAGGAAACCCGAGGGAGACTGGGTTCAAAGTAGGGAGCATCTATTGGGAGAGATCCGCGCCTCCCCTCCCCGCTTACACTCAATTCTCAAAGACCAACCTGAAGCGGAGGCAGCGGCGGAATCGCCCCTTTAGGCTCCCCATTAATCACGCTGACACTTCCATTCATCCAGTAGCCCCTGGTGGGGGCGTTAATCGTGGGCCCTTTTGAGCTGTGAAGGGTGGAACATTTTGCCATATGCTGAAGCTCCCTCTCTCGGAGCGAGGGAATTAGCCGACCCGTTAAGTCCTCGGGATGGATAACTCTTTCCACCCGCTCAGCAAAGAGAGGCGGACCAGGCTCTCTGATGCACCCCAGAAGGCGGTGCTTGCCCCCCAAAAGAAACCCGCCCTTGCAAAAAATGGATAAAGGGGGGACTATCATTCTGCCTCAGCCCTTGTCTGCCCCGTAGCTATATTTTTTGCAAGGCAACGCATTGGATCTCTGGTCTGTTAAGTCACCCCACGTTGCACGCACCTAACACTGGGACTTGATACCGAATAAAGGGATGTCTCTGCGCCTGCTTTAACCAACCAAATCCCTCACATTAAAAGCAGGAAGCAGCTGGTTAAGGTTCGTTCTCAAGAAGAGGGCCGGGAAGGGTCTGGAGCAGGGGTAGTCAACCTTGGCTCTTTTATGACTCGTGGACTTCAACTCCCAGAATTCCTGAGCCAAGGTTGACTACCCCTGGTCTGGAGCTTCGGCGCTGACCTGGTGCATCTCCTCTGCAGGGAGCCCCGGCAGAGCTTGGCTTGGGGAATCGCTGCTTCTTAACAGCTTTCAGCCTCGTCCTTAGAACCAGCCCTAGAAATCAGCCCAAAAGCCCCCGGGCTGCCCGTCCCACTTTCTAGACTGTTTGACGATTCCGTAATCCGAGTCCAATTTGGATCTCAGGACTGTCTCTCGAGGGCCAGATCCGCGGGGTTCAAAGGAGTTTGAGCCTCCATGATAGTCCCTTGCAAAGCTACCAAGACTCATCTCGGGGGCTCTCGGAGGGCAAAAGGGGGCAGGGGCGCGCGATTTGGACTCCTATAGAGTTGACTTTCCCTGACCACCCCCCCCCCCAACCTTGGATCGCGCCGTGGCTTGTTCGACTATCCTGGGCATTTCCAGGGTTTCTTCTTGTTCCAGGGGCGTGGGGGAGGGGGTTACTCTTAAAAGTCTCAGGAAATGGCAGGCCAAAAAGCGGAACGGGCCAAGACGCACCAGTTCGCTCCCGAACCTAGAAAAGTGCAGGATTTCTCAGCTCGGCGCAGAGTCGAGCTAACTCTGAGGCCCTCCAGAGACAGAAAGCAAAAGAAACGGGGTCGGCAGTGTGTGTGTTGGGGGGGGGAGGGTGTTGTTTCTCCGGAGGAGAAAAGAGGGCATTTGAATTGGTGCTCCGGGTCAAGCCTGGAGACTTTCGGGTCGGTGATCCACCAGCATCGATAAGACTCACTTTCGGGCTCAGGCGTCACTGCTCAGGTTTGGTTAAAAAAGGTCAAAATGGCGGTCACGACGGTGTAGCGAAGCTGTCCTGCACGTGAAAAGAAATAGAGCTTCGATCGCACCGTCGTGGCCGCCATCTTGACTTTTCTGACCATACCTGACCGACTCTCCGCCCTTATAAAGCGCTTCTGAAAAAATTAGTCCTAATTAATTTCGTTTCCAAAAGGCCGGAACCAGCTTCCTCTTCCCCTGACCTCAGGACTCGTTTTGGCAACAACGTTCGCCCCTACGGCAAATTCACAAGGGTCTCGGCACTGTCAGACAAAAGTATGATTCTCACGGGATAGGATAGGCACACTGATGAGGTAGAAACCGCAACTGACACTAGATTTCATAGTCATCAGAATGAACGTGCCCAAGAACGTAGTTCCGAACACGTTTGTTAAAAACAAAATAAGCCTCAGACTGAGGGGTTCAGACGTTGCACTGATCCTCGGGATGGCTTATGTTTGTAGCTTAAGCCTGTTAATGTGAACCCAGCCATCGTGGTTTCGTAACCGGAGGGCTTAAGAGTACCAGGCGAACTAAGGTTAAACAAACTCCGGGGGAAGCGCAAGGTGCAAATCCGTCCACGGGAGCGCCTTTTGAGAGTAGCTTGGATTATAAGACAAATAACCGGTTTGTGTTATTTTAACAAGGACTGGACATCCGAGCGCCCGTGTTTAGGAGACCTTCGTTGGCAGAGAAGGTTTCAAATTGTTCGGAGCTGAAGTTTTGAGTTTTCACCCGAGGCGCCGAGGTTGTGGGCAAGTCGAAAAACGGAAACCCCCTGGAAGGCTGCCACGCGCGAAAAGGTGGAGGAGAAACGCGCTTGGCTTGTTTCTCGGCTGCGCGTTTGGGATCTGTAAGCCTCGCCCGCTCTCTTCCCGCGGAGCCTCCGAGCGGGGCTGGCTTGGATCCCCTCCCCACCACCGCAGCCATCGCCTCATTTTTATCCTAGGAGTGGGCACTGCGTCTGGACACCCCGAAATCTCTCGCCCTTTATCGGTGCTGCTTCGCCTCGCCAGGGTAAGTTAAACCCGGGCGCCTGCGAGCGATATCCGAGCAGGACTGAGCCCGGTAACGGGCCGAGGGACAGGCGAGTGGCAGTCGCTCTGCCTCTGAGAAATGTTTGGAGTGGGCGGGGCCTTCGTATTTGCTTAGTAAGCATTTCTTTCCCTGCCCAGCCCCCTTTTAGCTGGCTGGCGTCTCATCGCCAATGGACGGGATTCTCGAGTGTCTCAGCTCGGCCCTTCCTTTAGACCAGGGATCTCCAGCTTTGGCAACTTGAAGACTTGTGGACTTCAATTCCCAGAATTCCCCAGCCAGCAAAGCTGGCTGGGGAATTCTGGGAATTGAAGTCCACAAGTCTTCAAGTTACCCAAGGTTGGAGACCCCTGATCTAGACGACTCTGAATGAATTCTGCCTTTGAGTCCGAAGCACAAAGGGGCAGAAATCGCCTCCTCCGCCCCCTGATGAAGGCTGATCGCGGCGAATCCCAGCAGTACACCGCCGAAGGGGACTTGACATAGGCGGGAATCAACCCTTCGCCTCCTCTGGGACGCGGTGACTCCGCGCCGCCTGCTTAAAACGCGCCAGTCTAGCCAGAGAAAAGACGAAATGGAAAGTGAGAACCGAAGCAAGCGTCGTCCAAACTCCCCCCCCCTCCTTTTTTTCCCGTTTTTCTGTATAGCGCGGCCCCGTCGCCGTTTTCAGTGCGTGGACGGGACACATAAAAACTTTCCCTAGTTTCACTCTCGGCCGCGAGGCGAAACTCCGAAACAAGGGAACCTCGGCGGCTGAGAACAGTCTCTTAAAAGCGCACAAGGCAAACCGCGCATGCGCCCCGCTGTCCGGGAGACAGGGGAAGCGTTGGCTCGAGCCCCGCCCTCCTGCCCTGCGCTTTACTGAATGGGAGGCGGAAATGCGCTCACATTTTTTTTAATCAATGGGCCCAGGATCGGAGGGGAGGAGCCAAGGGTTCCGGCGGCACCGCCCCTTCACTAAGGCTGTCACCCCGCCTCCTCTTCCTCCTCCTCCTCCTCTTCCTCCTCCTCTGCCCTCAGATACACACACTGGCCATGCATCAAATAGGCAAGCTTAATGCCTTTGCAAACAGAGAGCGCGCAGCGCCCGCTTCTCGGAGACAGTCGACGGAGGTAGCTGGGGAACAGCCACCCAGAGCGCGCTAAGCAAGGTGTATGACCGCCGGGTTCCGCGCCTGCCCTTCCCGCGCTCGGTTCCTACGCCTTTAAGTTCTACTTTCTCACCTTCCGCCCTTCCGCCACCTTCGGCCCGAGCAACACCGCGCTCGAAAAGGGGGAGGATCCGCGAGAAAGTTGCGGCAACTTTGTGGCGAAGGCTGAGACAGGGAGGCGGAGAGAGGAGCCGCCGTCGCCTCATTCCGGCCCTGCGAAGCCGAGCGGCTATTCGTTCTTCCAGCGGAGACGAGCGCTTTCCCCGCTCGCAGCAAGTGGCCGGTGACTGGGAAAATCAAGGCGGGGAGTCCGAAAGGAAAACGGGGGAGCAGGCGGAGGGGAGGAGCGCCCGGCTTCCTCGGCCACTTCCAAGGAAACGGCCATGGCAGGCGGGGAAGGGCGCCTCGCCGACTCCAGGTAGCTGGAAAATTTGCGCGGAGCGAGCCGGACAGGTGCCGGCCGGGCTGCTGTCCTGGGACGGGACAACTCCGTAGGCGTCTCTTGAAAAGCTGGATTGACTTTGCCGCGGTTGGCGCTGCATCTTCCACGACGTCGCCCGCTCCCTTTGCCTGGCCGAAGTCGGCTTCCTCGCTTCTCGCAACTCGCGGCGGCTTCTCGTCTGGGCGGCTGTCAAATGCCCCTCTCCTGCCCAGGAGCAGGCAGGGCCCGGCGGACTTGAGTTGGAAAGGGACTTTCCGCTGCCTTCGCCTTTCCCTGAGAGCCCCGACGGCAGAAGAGCGGCGGGCCAAGACGACGGTGCGAGGATCCCCCCCTGGGCGAGGAGGAGGAGGAGGAGGAGGGTGGGGGAGGCAACCTCGGATCCCGGCGCAGCCACCATTGATTTCCTGCGGGTGGCTCGCAGCGACGGGCTGGGCGCTGCCGCCGCCGCCGCCGCTGCCGCCGCGGGCATGGCCAAGCCGGCGGACCACGTTAAGCGGCCCATGAACGCCTTCATGGTGTGGTCGCGGGCGCAGCGGCGTAAGATGGCCCAGGAGAACCCCAAGATGCACAATTCGGAGATCTCCAAGCGGCTGGGCGCGGAGTGGAAGCTGCTGAGCGAGGCCGAGAAGCGGCCCTTCATCGACGAGGCCAAGCGCCTGCGGGCCATGCACATGAAGGAGCACCCGGACTACAAGTACCGCCCGCGGCGGAAGCCCAAGACGCTCCTCAAGAAGGACAAGTTCGCCTTCCCTGTCGTCTCCTACGGCCTGCCCGACGCCGCCGACCCCCACGCCCACCCCCTCGGACCGCATCACCCGGCGCTCAAGGCCGGCGTCCTCCACGGCCACGAAGCCTTCCTGGCCAACCCGGAGAAAGCCGCCGCCGCCGCGGCCGCCGCCGCCCGGGTCTTCTTCCCTCCCTCGGCCGCCGCCGCCGCCGCGGCCGCCGCAGCCGCCGCCTCGGGTAGCCCTTACTCTCTGCTCGACCTGGGCTCGAAAATGGCCGCGGAGATCTCGTCCTCGGCTGGCTCGGGAGCCGGCGGCGGCGGCGGCGGCTCGGGGGCCGGACTGCCCTACGCCGCCTCTTCGCTGGCTTACCCGACGGCTGGCGGTGCTTTCCACGCCGCCGCCGCTGCAGCCGCCGCCGCCGCGGCTAGCGGGGGCCACAGTCACTCGCACCCGTCCCCCGGGAACCCCGGCTACATGATCCCCTGCAACTGCAGCGCCTGGCCCAGCCCGGGACTCCAGCCGCCCCTGGCCTACATCCTGCTGCCCGGCATGGGTAAACCTCAGCTGGACCCTTACCCGGCGGCGGCGTACGCCGCGGCCCTATGACAACCAGCGCTCTGCTTCGGAGCCCGGTGCCGAGAAGAACCGGGCGGCCTCGCGGGGCCCGGACTGTAGTTGCAAGTAGAGCCTCGCTCCCGCTCCGCCTGGCTCCCCGCGAGAAGCCCGCAGCCTGGCGCTTGGATCGCCCTCTTTGCAGCTCCGGAGCCGGGAACCCACGCCTCCCGCCAACGCCGCTGGCCTCCCGGCTTGCTCCCGGCGTGGCTGGAGGGGCCGAGAAGTCAGTGCTTTCCAGAAGCTTCCTCTCCGGGAAGATCCCACCTGCCACTGTAGGACCCGGTTCCGACGACCTTGGGAGTTGCTTTGCTTTCCGTTCCAGTGCCCCTGCCCGCTTTCTCTCCTCTCTCTCTCTCTCTCTCCTTCGCCCTCAAGCCCACGTCCTATCCCGACCCGCAGTTCCGAGCAAATGCTTGCCAAGTCCCCCCCCCCCACTCCAGCCCCGACGTAAGCACGAGGTTGTCTTTTAAATCAGTGTCTATCTGTCTGGATGCTACCGAGCAAAAAGAGAGTTTGCACCCACCCACCCACTCCCGCATAAAAAGCAGAGAGCCCTGATACAATACAGTCAGAGAAGAAGTTAGGAGGCGCTTAATCCTCCTTACTAAGCCGGCTGCTCGCTCTCCCTTCTGCCATTCACACATCTCGCCTGAAGTTTGTAAAATGTGTACCTGTCCGTGCGAACTTTAGGTCTCTAAGGCTATATTATTTGAAAACTGTGGGTTTGGGTTTTGGCTGTGATCCTACGCCCCCGTTGGCTCGATGCTAGGTCTGGCTGCCTTCAAAGGGACTTGCTTCCAGTCAGACGAGCGAAGAGTGGGGGAATAAAACCCGCGCCTCAAATCAGATTCAGACGGCTGCGAGCCAGTCAAGTTGCGAGTCACTTTTCCTGGTTGCCGTTTGAGTTCGAGGGTTTTCTTTTGTAAAACCGGACTTCCTATTTGAGGAATTAATATATTTATTATGATGTCAATGTGTCTCAGTCCTGCGTGTTCAAGAGAAGACACTTATCCCCTTTTTCCTCCCTAACTCCGTCTCCTTTCATGTGATTGGCAGTCACTCCGCTTGGGTGGGTGGGAGAAATCTTTATTTTTTTAATAAAAGCATAAATATTCAGTTGCAAATAATGATTTTTGGAGGAGGAATCAAGCTCATTTTAAACCATTCCCTCCGACACAACAAGTTTCTTTTACTTTTGTAATGTGTATATTTGGATTAATGTTTGTGAATCAACTTGCTTAAACAGTACTTAGGGATTCTTTCTTTCGTTCTTCTTCCGTAATATAAAGTTTTTTGAAAAAAAAAGTTTTTTAAGTATTGGTTTTAACATTTGACGTGTATAAATGAGTTTGCTGGTATGCTCTAATTTAAAATTAGACGTCTAAACTATATCTGTACAATTAGACTCCGACTTACCACTCTGTTCATTTTGGAACAAAGAGTTTAAATAAAAGCCTGAAGCAGGGGAAAGAGAAAATCCTCTATTTCTTGTTGAGTTACTTACAAGATGCTAATCTCAATTGCCCTTACCTGCCTAGGCCAGGGGAAATGTAAGGTATACTCCAAAGGCGGGCTTTGTTTCACTTTTGAATAGATTGACTAGGAAGTCTAAGTCAGACCATTGTTGCCTGATTTATCCCATATGAAATCGTGAATGGGAAAGAAGTTTTTTTTTTTAAAAAAAAAAAATCCAATACTTCTGTTATCATTTGAAAAGGGAAAGGAGATTAAAAAGAAACAGCATCCATGAACTGACTGGATATCCAGCCGATCTGGAGCTGGTTTCTACAGAATCTCTTCAGGGCAAAAACTTGTTTGACCGCTCTTTACCCCTCGCTCTCAAAGAACTTCACAAACCCACATGATTTATTCAGGTGTCTTTGGGTGTTTCTTATTGTCTCAAAGATCTTACTATCCAAGGGTCGTCTTGCGGACTTAAGGGTCCCCACTCTTCTGCAACTTCTTCAGGGTTAGGCCCCGAAAGATTTAAAAAAAAAAAAGTGGAGCCCTGAAGGACAAATATGGGGGTCCTTGAAACCAGAACAGGGGTGAGGGCCGAGTGAAATATGCCTAGGATTCTGTCACTGAATCCTACGTCTCTAATTTGCTCTTGGTGATTTCTTTGTCAGGCTGACCTCTTCCCTCCCCTTCCTCTGGAAAGAGATGTGGCACTTCAGGCTGCTACCAGTATCCTTTGCACGCTTGCTGAGAAGTTAGTTAGAGGGCCGGGAAGTTTCCCCCGAGATGCAGTGGCCTACTTGGGGAGAGAGCTTCCTTAAGTTTCAAAGCCTTTCCTGGGGCCCGAACTTGTTCTTCATTCATGTGGGAAACAGAGTGGCAGAGCCCTGGACTCACGAGGCAAACCAAGAGGGATCCACAGAACTAGCCACAGGTCACCAAGGCCTCAAGGGCAAAGCCCCGGCCATTGGGCAGACTCTGATTTGGGCAGCCGGTCTGGCCTTCTCACTAGCGCCTATTGGAAAGCTTTTCTGCTTCCCTTCACCGTCTTCCCTGAGCGTGCAAAACAGACTTTCTCTCCCCTAGGTGCACGTTAATTGCAGGGGGGAGGGGGAGAGGGAGGAGATAGATTTGGAAGAACGTTCCGTGGCCTAGCTCAGCTAATTAAAATGATCCTCTTTCTGTCGTCTCCTTTTTTTTTTTTTTTTACTTTTTTTTTGTAGGTTCTAAGTGAATTCGTATGGTTTGGAGAGATTATGCAAAACTAATTCGGACAGTCCAGGGGTAATTAGCCCTGACGCGGTTAATTAAATCCTTTCAGTCTCTCCACCTCCACCTTCTTTGTGGCAGCCACCATTTCTCTACAGGGAACTTCCCGCTGATCTCTAGAAATCCCATTTTCACAGACGTGTTGAGCTTGCTCTCCACATCTCCATTGCACTAATGCAAGCAACTTGTTGCTTTTGGACCCGGCTCCCCTCCCGCTTGGGAATTAACTCTTCCAGTGGTGAACGAGCGCCTTTCTCGCCTGCCCCGCAAACGCCTCTCCAGCGCCTGCTAAAGTGGCGTTTCTAATCCCCCTTCGGGGCTGGAGAATCAAACCTAGGCAGAGAACAGAAATGGATTCAGATAATCAACTTGGCCTAGGAGCGTCTGCGCGGGTTAGGAAGTAAATCCACTGCATACATTAGGGCTTCAAATAATACACAACTGCAACCTCCAGTCCCGCTTTGTGATCTTGTGTGTGCAGAGAAAGTAAAGTTTCTCTAGCAGGAAAGCTTACTCCGGATTACAGCCAAATGGAATTTTTTTTTATTTTCTGTCCAACAGGAGTTGTTGCTCCGTGAAAATGTTATTGGAAAAGTTTATTTTCAATTAACCACGCGATTCGGCACATGTTTATTCGGAACTAGGTCCCAGCGAATGCAGTCAGACTTATTCCCCTTTAATTAAATTTAGAGCTGCAAAAAGTGAATCGGTTTTAGTATCTGACTGCCTGTTGTGATTTTCCCTTTTGCATTCCGTTCAGGAAAGTGGCCAAATTCTCGACCGATTACATGATTATAATTTCCTATAGTAAGAACCCCAAATAAAGTTTTTTTTCTTTCTTTCATCTTCTTTTATTATTATAAAGTATATATTATTGTCTCAGAGCTAGGCCACAATTGCTTTTTTTTAAAACAAACCCACGTGTTCCGAGGCAGAACGCGAGGAGACCCTAAAATCCACCTCAAACAGTGTGTTCCTCATAGACCAAGCCGCACTTTGTCGTTTGGTTTGGAATTAAATCTCAGCAGCCAAAAGACAACTTGCTTCCTAGCAGGGTTTTTCTCTCCCTTCCTACCCTTCCCGGGAATGCCCCTGGGATTTCTCCGGCGAAGGCCCGTTTCGGAAGAGGCTGAAGTTCTCTGAAAAGAACGTCGAGGAGGCGAGAATTCCACAAGAGAACGCCGCGCAGAGCGCAACATTCCACGAGAGAACGCCGCAAGTGGCTGAGATTCCGGAGGGGCCGCTTTCTGGAGACAGAAAAAGAGAAAGTGGCTCTGAATGGCTTGGAAACATCTCGCTGCTTTTCAAATGGGCCTGGTGGCCTCAGTGGGGGACCCCCTGGGTGGCGGGTCTTTCCCAACATTTGTCCTGATTTAGCCTAGAAGACTCCGCGGCCCCCGCGAGGGAAGCGCTTTGGAAAAACTTCTATAATTTTATCCTCCCCCCCCCCGTGGCACTTTCCCCTCCCTCTTTCAAACTGACGCACCTCAAAGGTCATTTCTAGCCTTTTCAAAGCCTGATATTAATTCGTTGACAATTTCCCTTTTTTTTCCCCCTCCCTTCTCTCCTCTCCTCTCCAGATCCCTCTCCTTTTCCTCCCCCCATTCCTTCCCGCCAGCTCCCCCCCCATCTCTCCCAGGGGAAATGGGAAATGAGGAGGGAGAGAGGGAAATGGTGAAAAACGTCCCTTCACGCTCTCTCTCTCTCTCCTTTTTTTTGTCCTGCAATGGGAGCGTTTAGACTGTCGAGGGGTTTTTTTGTGCAAGAACAAAACCTGGGGTTGGGGTTTTTGTGTGGCTGTTGTTTGTTGAAGTGGAGCTAAGAAAAAGCGTCGGCTTTCTCCTCTTTGTGAGGAAACCAATCAGTAGTATTTGGAAAACTTGTTAGCATTGTGCATTTCTTCTGTGACTATTGTAAGGCTGTTCTTTTCACATGGCTTTCTTTTCTTTTCTTTCTTTCTTTCTTTCTTTCTTTCTTTCTTTCTTTCTTTCTTTCTTTCTTTCTTTCTTTCTTTCTTTCTTTTCTTTCTTCTTTCTTTCTTCTCTCTTTTTTTAGCTGATCCAGCTGGCCAGACTGAATAGCGGTGCAATTGTGTACACGCTTTGTCCTCCCGGCCCTTCAAATAGCCTCAGTGAATAGACTAAGTTGACACTGCATGACAGAGAAACAACATAATAAAAAATACATGAGCCCCTGGATGGGAACAGGCGCATAAATAAATAAAATGGGTGACCAAAACTGGATAAACTGAATGACAAAATGGTGAAAGGGGAACAAAAAGATATTTAACACGCTAGATTAGCATTAGAATGCAATCTACAAGACTGAACAATTGATGAATAGGGTTACCGGCCAAGAAAGAAAGAAACTAAATGCCCTTTGAATAGATTTTTTTTTTTCCTTTTTGGCAAGGGCATTGAATAGATATATGCTTCTTGCAGGACTGAATTTAAAAAAAAGGGTAAAAATGAAGCTATGCAAATAAGTGAAGTGCGTGCGGTGTGTGTGTGTGCGCGCGCGCGCATATCTACGCATGCACACTCGCCCATAAGCACGTGCACTTATATACTTATATACTTGCTCCTGTCCATTATATACAAACCAAACGTAGCCGCATATTGTAGATAAAAAATAATTTCTGGGCATTATTTATATTATTGCCAGCTTCCGAGAGTTAACCGCGTGCACGGGCGAGCAATAAGTCCACCGCATTTAATTTCAATCCATTTTCCTAGCTTCCGTAGCGCCTGGATTCGGCTTGATGAAGCCCTTTAAGGCAGCCACCTCTGCACCTCTCCGGTTTGAATTTGCTGGAGACCGAACTAAAAGCGACGGAGGACTGCCGCCCTCACCTGATCCCAGGCGGTTAAGAAAGGAGCCCTTCCTTCTCCGAATCCTGCAGGACAGAAGGAAAAGTTCTCGCCCCACACATTCTGGGGGAGGCGATTCCCCCGCTTGTCCTTCCTCTCCCCAGCCTGGAGACGAACGGCCTTCTGCCGGTGTTGCTCCTGCTCCAGAAGCGGCCTGGGCCTATCCGGGTCGGCGGGGCAGCGGGCATGGAGAAGACCGCCTTCCGCCCCTGAAGCCCGGGCCCAAGGCCGGCTTGCTGGCGGCGTCGTGGGGGGGGGGCTCCTCTACCGCGCTCGGGCACTGGGGAAAGGAGCGAGAGAGGGGTCTGCAGCTGGAGAAGAAACGGGACACGCCGTTTCCTGAGCTTTTTTCTACCTCCACTGCTATTGCAAGTCACTCTTTCAACTTTCAACTCACCCCTTGGCCTTTGACGGGAATTCTCTCCCCCCCCCCCATTCGTGCCCTGAAATTTTTGTTTTCAAATGCTCCCAAATCAAACTTGAGCTAAATGTTTCCTGCTTCTCCTTTTGCAAAAGTTGGGGCTGTTGGAAATACCTAACACGTCAGGGGAAAAACTAGTGACTAGTGAGGTTTTCCGATCTTAAAAAACAGACAGTTCCCTAGAAATGTAAAATGGGTTACATGTAATTTCTTTTTAAATTTTGTACTATTTCAGCTAGGAAATAGGCTGAATTTGAAAACACCAGCCTTTCCCTCAAGGCAAAATCCGTTTTTATTTATCCACCCAAGACAGAACCTCTTCAGTTTATATTTTTGTTTGCATCCATTCTCTTCAGAGGAATTTCACCACCTTCATTGTTTCTTTTAAACTGCTGCTCTGTATTCTTCCAGTTAAAAACTTGTGCGATCCTAAAATCACCCAGAGACAAATTCC